AAACTAAGTAAAATCAAGAAAATGAAGGTAAGAAAGATAACACTTCATATGTGAAACTAACAGTTGAAAATAAAGAGAGCAAATGTTCTGCAATTCTTGAAGAAAAAAGAATGAGTGAACACAGCAGTGCTGAGGAAAAGAATGAGTTTTGATATGCACTCAGTACTCAAGGGAAGTACTGAGCATGGAAGATGTGTTACTCTCCCACTGGTAGAGGTGTATGGTCTAGTGCTGATTGAAACATAAACTGGTACAGTGCACAGTAGCCTTATGTGTTGGTTCTCTGTTCTGTGGAGAGGCAAGTATAATTTCTGAAATCTCAATTCACATTCAGGGTAAAAAAAATAAACCCAACAAAGGCTTGGGATAAAAGATCTGAAACATCTAGAGCAGTGTTTCCTAAAGTTTGGTATGCGTACCTCTGGTGGTACACGAGATGATTTTAGGTGGTATGCGGACAACTTTTTCATCTTAATAGTTATATATTTATTTTAATATGTATTAGAAAAAATTATAAGAAAAAATTAATTTTAACACGGTTATTACATTATTTGCTGACAAATAAACATTGTCTATTATTCAAAGGCATCATCTGGTCCGCTTTGTTATAACAATGTCATTTTGACAGGAGAAAAATAATGTTTATTAAAATAATATTATTGTAAGTGATACTGATTTTCTATTTATCCTAGTGTTATGAAATTTCCTTTTAAAATAAATTTATTTAAATAAAAAAGTGAGTCGATTTAAAGAAAAAATTAAGTAAAATGTAAACAGTAGTACAGGTGGTATGCAGATGTGTCAAAAATTGTGAAGGTGGCATGCGATTGACTGAAGTCTGGGAAGCACTGATCTAGAGTATTAGATCAGGAATAAAATAGAAGCAACCATCCAGTAAGAGAACCCAGAACCACACTGAAGAGGCCTATCTGAACATCAATTCTGGCAATTAATAAAAACATCAGATCTGATGAAGATGTACTTTAGTACATCAAAATATAGTCTAAGAATAAGCTCTATAAGCATGTTGTTCATATTAATAACCCTAACACTTCATCAATTGCAAGACATATCTTTCAAACAATAACTTACTTGGATACACTGTCACAAGATCAATTAAGAAATATCTCAAAATTGTAAAGTATGTCAAGGATAATGGGAAACAAAGGTTAAAATCATGAAAAGTTTGTGTAAAAAATTAACATTAAATGTGGCAAGTCCTAATCCTCATTTGTTTCTAAGTAATTAACTTTCTTTTATATCACTACCAACCAGATAATCAATAAAAACAGCTAATTTACTCTTCTCTTCATTTTATATATTTTGAGCTTTTTTTAAACATTTTCATGTTATCTTCTTTTTTTTACCATCTAAATTCAGTAAATGCTTAAAAGTAGAATGAAATACTTCTTTTCTTTATAATTTCTGATAACAGTGCTCTTTGGAAGCACATTTTATGTTTTCAGTGTTTGTTACATAGTAAGTATAAGCCAATGAAAAATAAAACCAAACATAATATATACAAATCTAAAAAACACATCATTCATATTAGTGTATTTGGTTGAACTGCAAGATGTTACTAATTTCCATGGCATAACAAGGCTTGAACAAAACACACAATATTTTTCCTTTTCTAAAGAGACTTTTATCTGATTTCAGAGATGCCAACCCTAATTGATGTGAAATAGGAATTACAATCTTTAAAATTTGGAATCTAAGCAGTAAAATAAGAAATATTTAATTTCTGAAGTTGTTTTACCACTATGAGAACTCTGCAGATTAAAGCACACAAATGGCATAGTTTTTACTTCATCTGGTCAATTTAATGAATGGATAGTTGAAAGTATATTCAGACTTGCATTTCTGCAACATCCATGATTGGCAAAAGTTCCACAGTGGGATTCAATTTGTAATTGTGGTTGATGTGTTTTCGATTTTCATTTTTAGTTTATTTTATGGTTGTTGTCTAGTTACTAAACTTACCTCTGAGATTTGTTATTCATAGTTTTTTTGGTGTGTTCCTGATTTTGAGGTATCTTAGTATTAGGGTTGTTTAAATACATGATCTTTCATCTAATTACTCACCATCACAGGCAGTTCTCGTAAACAAATTTCACATTCTTCTGTCATTACCACACCTGACCTGGTGGCTATTTGCTGAAATTAAAACCAGTTGTAACCAAGTAATGCAAATGAAGCAAAATTTACAAAGTTTATCCCTTCCATAAAATATAGATAAATAAAAGTAATCTCTTGTGATTAGGAAATGCAAAACAAGACAGGCAAGATTTAATTTTTTCTCCTTTTACACAATATTTGTATTTTCTCAAAAAACTACTAATCATATGAATATTTGTTAGTTCTAATTAACATATAATGAAAATAAAGTCAATTACATTAAATGCTTACATTTTATTATCTCAGAAGTTTTTGTGCAATCATTCAGTAATCACAGCTCTTAAGCTATGAAACTGTTAATTCTTTTGTATTTTTTTTTCCTTTACCTGTTTATTGCTTTCTTGTAATTTTTTAAAAATAATTTTATACCTTCATAACATTACATTTTTTGATCATAGGTTTTATTAATAACCATCTCCAGATTATTAGACTTCACATATCACAAAGATCTGAAGCCGTAAATACTCCTGTTTGGTCTTTTTTTAGTGGATTTTCACAGGATAACTTGGTATATGTCAACAAATCAAATCATTAAACCAAAGATACAAATATACAGACAAACATATTACTTGTAAGTGTAGTTGGTTGAACTGCAAGATGTTATTGGTTTTCATGATATAATAATGTTTAATAAAAAAAAACATTTTCTTTTCTTTTCTACAGACTTTTCAAGTATATTGTCTATTCATTTGTAGCTCCATTAGCTGATTTGTACTAAAGTGCCACACAAATTATTGTCCAATCAGGATTTGAATCTGTGTTGGTAATTTTTTGCTGCTATATTTCAACCTTTTATAACATAATTTAAATTTTTGATGCTTACTTGTAAAGAAGATCCTAAGTAATTCTAACACAATCATTATTCTTATCTAAGCCTAATCAAATATGGTATTCAGTTACAATGACATCTGCCAGATAAATTCAAATTTCTGCAAACAGAGGGTTCCAGAAATGTCATACAAAAAGTAATTTGAAACATGTTCAGCAAACAAAATACAAGTCCACAAGCATACAAATAAAACAAAATGGGTATTCATACTACATAACAAGGCAAGTCTGGACCCACTGCTAGATTTCATAGTTCACTGTAAGACTACTATTGGCTACTAGGGTAGAAGAACAGGATTTCTCACATCTGCATGAGATGAAACAGGAATAAAAAAAAAATCTAGAATCATGTAGATACTAAAATTTTAATTCACAATAAAATGTTAAAGCAGTATCCCACAATAGTGATATTGTACAGGTCAACAAATATTCCAAATAAGCATATTCAAAAGAGATAAACCTCAACTCATATTAATTTGTATAAGGCTCTGCATTACTTCTTGAAATATGTACGAAACCCACTCCATGACGGCATAACAGAGAAACATGGCAAAGCCAGTATAAGCCCAATAGAACACAGCATTGTAACATGTAAACTTTGTAAATTTGTCTACAAGGATGTTGCTACCATATGCAGAACACTTGCACAATAATTTACAAAAATTGCCGGTATATATTTAAGTAACATTATATTCCATAATGAATGTTAGTTATTTATGAAAGGGTGAAATATCAAATATCATCACAGAAGTTATAAAGCTTACACAATCTTACAATTAAGCCTTTCTCTATGATACATTATTTATAAAACACTAAACATACAAACTTTCTCAACTCTATTCCTTTTTAATTGAAATACACTTCACAACAAATTCAAACATATCTAAAGATTAATTATCTTATCTCAAAATTTTATTTTCTAGCTGTCTAGTTTTCAAGTATTTATGATAAAAATAACGATTTTTTTTAGAATTATTACAAAGAATATAGAGGGCACAAAAATGATGCATGCCCAGTGCCAAATACCCATTAAAATCATGGTGGGTATGTAAATATCTCAAAGGATGTGCCTGACTAGCACAAAAAATATTGCAGTAATCTTATACTAGATAAAATAACATTGTCATTTTGAGCCAGTATAAAGGGATGCATACTATGAATGGATGTTTCTGTATCAGGAATTTAAAATTTTGCAGTCCAATATCATTACAAAAGCCAGGTTTCTTTGGTTTATACTGTCTATTAATATGTAAATCATTTGGTGATTTATTACTAAGTTGCCAAACAAACCACTATCCAACCAGAATTCAAAATCTTACTGGTCATATACTGAAAGTTAATGTAATTTACAGGCCAGTCCCAATGCTATTTATCAAAGTCATGTGAGGGGAACTATAAGTTCTTGAAATAGCATTTATATTTTGCATACTAGCATAAGTGATCAGGAGTTTATTAATATATTTCTAGTCCTAATAAACCTAGATCAGCATAGGCAGCAATAAAGTTAACATTTTCTAACACTGAAAATGTATTTCCAATAGGTACTTGCATCCTCTCACCCAAAGCTATTTCGAACTTGATTTGCCCTCTAAGCATTGCTAAAATTTTCAACAATGTACCAGTCTATTATACCCTTCTTTTCTGCACCATTGCAGCAATGTGTGCTGATCATGTGACTACCCTCCAACAATTATACTGCACTCTCTATACTAGTGCAACAAACTCCCTCTGCTATTCTAGAGTAATCCTCACTTTCTTATTTGACAGGTACAAACCAGAAACACCGGCAAATCAGTGGGAAGGAAGGGTTGGAAGTGGGTGAATGAGGTAAGTACCTGTCGGAAATACATTTTCAGTGTTAAAAAATTTTAACTTCCGAAACAATACTACCTCTTCTAACCCAAAAGCTAGAATTCCCCATTGCAAAAGTGGAGGGGGCCAGTGAAGGCACAAAACTAATTAAACAAGTGAAGAAAAACGGCCAGGAAAGAACAGGTGTGCCACAATTATAAAAGGAGGCACACCTGTGGGGTATAACACTACTTCTGGAACAGGTATGATCTTCACCCGGTAACAAAGTAAGGCACATAGGGCAGAACTTAATAGACAGGCACCATGTCATGTAAGACAGATTCTGCCTTTGGGCAACAAATAGTATGTAAGACGTTCACATATGTAACGAGCATGAGAACATGACACAGAATGAGAGATCAACAAGTGCAGTCCACCCAAGCAGAAAACATCCAGGGGAAGTGTCTTGCATAAGATTGTGTGTTTCATATCTTGTATGAAAAGTATTCAGAGATCAACAAGTGCAGTCCGCCAGGGCAAAAACAACCAGGGAAAGTGCCTTGCATTAGTATTGAGTATTGTAAGTGCAGTTTATCCAGGTAGAAAACATCTGGGAGAAGTGCTTTATATTGAGAATATTATGGTAGGGTATAATATGACGAATAACGAAAATAGGCCTCTTCTAACAGAGTGGGTACACTTGACTGGGAGGTTTGAATTACCATACAAATCCCACTCATGAGGAAACCATGGTCCATCACTCTAGTGACTGGGAACTGGAAATAGCAAGGACCTTCTTGCTCCATTAGAAGAATAGGGGGGGGGGATGTGCATTGGGGTGGTCCACAGGAACGACACACTGGAGACAATGCAATGGCAATGGGCATCTTTGTCTCCCTATTTTGAAAAGCAGAAAGGGTGTGATTGTAAGAATCATAGGTCAGTAGGGAAGAGCAAAAATCCCTATCTGCTTTACTCAGGAAGTCCATGAGTGATAGTACTTTATGTATGATAAAGTAATAATAAAATATATAGATAGATAGATACACACCACAGGATAAGCGGCTGGTGGTCTTACAGAAACACCCCATTTCCACAGTGAATATTATAGAAGTATACAGATTTAGTGTTAAGATACAAAATTCAGCATACCTGGCCAGACAACACCCGCCACCAGATGGGATCCTGAAATATGATGTATATCAATGAAATAAGATAAAAATAATAATATGTTGACTTACCCTACACAAAGTCGAACAGAAATCTGAAGAATCATCACAGGAGGAAGACACAGCTATATTGTGCAGAGAAAGAGCAACAACTGTATTGGGAGTTGTCCAGATACCAAAAGACAGTGGTTTTGATTTAGTTAGATGACGAATTTTGCATGAAGAAACATTATGTATGAGTTGACAAACCAAACCAGTGAGCATAGTGGGTGAAAGATCACGGGAAACAGAGGAATGCCATAGAATAAGATACTGAAAGGGGGTAGTAAAGGACTTCTCCAACTTGATGAGAAACCCCATTTGAGCAGCTTCTCAAAGAAAGAAGCAGGTGTGAGTGACTGATTCCTACTACCTTGAAATGAGTTAGCACAAGCTACATAACACTTGAGGGCCTTAACAGGACATAAACGGTCAGTAACAGAGTGGTCATAAAAATGAGAAATAGCTGGCAAATGGATTAGTGAGAGGGATCTTTCCCCTTCCCTAGCTGTCAGAGTCTTGGACAGAAAAGACCTATTGGGGTAGAGCAAGACAAATATGGAATGATAAAGAGACCAATGCACAGGTATTGCAAACAACTCTAGCTGGCAATGTCCACAAGCGAATAAAAAAAAATTCCAAAGAAAGGTGAAACAAAGAACATTGAGCTGAGGGCTCAGAGGGAGAATGAGACAGTGCATGTAAAACAACTGTAAAATACCAATTTGGTAACTGAAAAGGTCATTTGGGTCAGAGAATATGAAGGGTTTTGAGTAGACCTGATAGCATTGAGGATTCAAAACACCTTGTGATGTATCATCCATTCTGTTGGAAGAATCTGGTTGGATCAAGACAAGTGATCTTCAATTAAGTTAATTATTCCTGGAACATGATAAGAGACTGATACGATGAGAATGAGCCCAGTGGAGAAGATCCAAAGTACAAAAACAAGGTCTTGAGAATGTTTGCCTCCTTGAAGAGAAATCTGAGATACCACTGTGGAATTGTCATAATGTATCATGACAATTTTTCCCTTCAAGAGGGACAGAGCTTGAACCATTGCCCAGTGTACTGCAAAGAGTTCAAGAACATTGATATGGAGGGTAGACTCGACCTCTGGCCAAATACCCTGAAACTCCTGACCTTGAAGAT